TTCTGCTAGAGCTAGAAGACAGCCTACCTGTAGCACAAGTTCAACAGCATTTAGGAAGCCACACACCTGCCTTATGCTATGGTTTGCCAAGGTGTATATTAACACACTATTGCTTTATGCACAGTGAGGCCTCAGGGTTAAACACCTCAGGAGGAGAGGTTGGTTTTAGTTTCATAGCGTTCAGTACTCAGAAAAACAAGCTGCTCCGTCTAGTAATATTCCAGACACCACCCCTTGCAGTCATGGTTTCCTAGACATAGATGAACTCCTGTTATTTTTGACATACTTGAAGTACACCTTTCATTGGCCCATTCAAGGTTTTTCCAGAGTGAATTACTGTATATATTCTTTAACTGCACAGCAAATGGGGGTCAAAACAGCAAACTGTCACAGAAGGGCCTGAGTATTTCCCAGTAACTACTCAGTTTATGTTTTGTAACACTCTCTTTCTCACAACAGCAAACAGAAAAAACCTGCATGACTATGGGAACAATCCTAAGCATGTTTTACCTAGAGGTAAGTTCTATGTTATTCAATGGGGTTTACTCTCTGGAAAGTGTTTTTTAGATTGCAGCCTCAGTTAAAGGGGGTGGGGCTCCTGTACTTTTTAAAACTACGGCAACCAGCAAAATGTCTATCAGTGTGGTTCCCTAGCCCTGCTGCATACACGAGTTGTTTTGCCTTGTCAAACACCTGTTGGAAACACTTGTGTGGAGAAAAGAGAGGCAGCCAAAGAAGATTGGCTATGGTGACCTCAGGCCAAGCAAGCAGGTAATGAGACCACAAAGAAACACCTGGTTAGGCTACAAAAATATTTAGTGGAATGGGTCTGGCGTGTTCATATAATTTGCTCAGGATAAACTACCAGCTTCAAGACAATGCACATACACAGAATCCTCAGATAAAGAGCCCTCACCTAATCAGACTTTTTACCAAAATAGCTGGACTGAATCACTCAGTACCTTTAAGACGTTTAAGCCTTGCATGGCATTTGCCACAAGTAAAATGGTGATTCGGGACAAGTGAGGATTTGGGGGATAGGTCACTGTAAAACTGAGGTAAAACTATGGTTTTACAAGCCTTATGAAGAACTGCATAAATGTTGACATCCATAATTGTATAAACACACTCTTGGTTCTGCTTTGGCATTTAGGATTTTTAGAAACTGTACTGGCAAATGCAGACCTTGTAATTCTGGATGGGTAGCTGTGTTAGTCTATAGACATAAAACAGAAATTCAGGGGCTTTTCAAAGCCTGGCAGTTATTCCAGCATGAGCTCTCTTGAGTCACAGCTCACTTTTATTTTTGGCCCCCCGAAGGGGATTTTTTTATTGCATTTTCTATAACTAAACACTACATGAAAAAATAAGGGAGGGTCTACAAACTATAGGGATAAAGAAAAGAAACCTCTAAAAACCCAAGAGTGGGTGTCATACAAATTGCTTTAACAAGTTTACAAGCTTATATAGCTAGGTATTCTTATAACATCATTGAACATATTCATCATCTTTCTATTAAATTTCCGCTCAAAATTAAACATTGTCTACTATGACTTCATAAAAAGCCCAAGAAAGCTTATTTTAATTTTTTTTAAACTTCAGAGTTATAATAACAAATCATTTTTTCTTCTTTGGCTTCCTCAATTTATAGCCTCGTTTGGGGGGCGTTGCCAAGTTTGAGTCTGATTCTTCACCAGAAGATGGCTCTGCTCCATCTCCACCATCCTTCTTGGGACTTTTTTCTTCTTCTTTTCCTTCTGCTGAACGACTATGAAGATGCAGGAATTCATTTGCTTTTTCCACAGTGTCAATTTTTTCTTTTCCATTCACAAACTTAAAGATGACTCCTTCAGGCAGAATCCATCTGTAAACAATTTGTTTCTTTTGTAGAAATGTGACCAAGTCTTTATATTTGCGCCTTCTCTTCCTTATTTCAAATGAAATATCCTTTAAAACCTTTATCTCTTTGCCCTTGATTTTCAGGGTAACTCTATTAGCCGCTTTAAGAATTTTATCTCTGACGTTCCTTCTGGAGAATCTCACCATCACTTCTCCTGGCAGGTTATTATTCCTTGTAAATTCAGTATACAATCTGTAGACCATATCAATATCATTTTGCAAAGTATCCACTTTAATATCTGCCATTTGCTCCAATGCTTCACACATTGTCTGTGTGACATTCTCCCCTTTTTCCTCAGAAATTCCCTGAAACTTTAGGACATAGCTTGCCTTTTCCATTTGTAACTGTAGCAGTTGGGACTCGTCTGTTTGTCGCTTCTTCTCCATTGTCTGCATTTGTTTTTGCAGCTTTTTGGTGTTGGTGTCCACTTCTTTAAGTTGCTGGTCTGTTTGGTCTATTTTTTGACAGTCTCGTTAATTTGAGCTTGCTGCATATCCAGCTTTCGATTTATCTCCGTCACTTGTTCCAGCAGAGGGCGTAGTGCTTCATTTAATATCCTTTAAAGGTCTGAGTTTGTGTCCTCACTGGGCTGGCACGTCCAGTAGCCTTAGCTTTCACTATCTTCTCCTTCTCCTCTTTCCTCATAGGAGGCGCCATTTTTGAGGAATTGTTTACTTTTTGTCAAAAGTTATCAGTCTCTAAAGTTCTCAGTGACGCTTGGTAAGATCTTAAAAGTCTTTTATTTCAGTCTTTTTTGCTTTGAAAGCCTGCCCCCCCGCTTTAACGATAGAATTTGCTTTAAGTCTGTCTTATCGAAGGAGAATCCCCTCCCCCCCTTGCTTCCCGTGGGGCAGCTTTAGCTCTTTTCGGTGTTCTCGCTTCAACTTAACTCACAGTTCAATGATTAGATGATTTCAATTTCACTTATGTTGCCAAATCACTAGATTACCCGGCGCTTGATCCGGTGTGCGCTTCTAGTTCCATCTGGAAACTCCGCAGCAGGACCATCGGGGCATAAATGGCCCCCCCTTCACCGGCAGGTTCACTGGCGGAGAAGCCGTCTAGCGTCCCATGGCTTGGAACCCATCAGCAAGGGTTCCGTGGGGGATGCAGACAATCGCACCCCCTCCTAGCCACGGGTTCTGGCAATCGTCTCCCAGAGGTCCAGGAGAGCGACTGCCATAGCGAACGCCAAAATCGGGTTTTCCGAGTCACAACTCACTTCTTATCATCTGAAGAAGTGATTTCTGACTTATGAAAGCTCATTAAGGAATAAATGCTGTATTTACGGTGCCACTGGGCTTCTGGGTATTGAAACGATATCCCACAGGAACTGTGTAGAATTTTTTTAAAAAAAAAACACTTTAAAATAAGTTCCATACAAGTTTGGAGATCTTAGCCTGGAAACAAGTAAAACATGGTCTGATGGACCCTCTATAGAGTCATTGATCTTGGCTTTTGAATTGGAAAGGATTATCCATTGTAATCTCTTGCGCTGTAGCCTCTGCTTTCTGCCATAGCTCTTTCAAGCTCTCATCTTGCTTCTGCTTGGCTAGAAATTCTGCAGCTGGCACTTCCTGTAACAGTGTTACTGAATCGCTAGTACTAGGCTCGTCTAGACTAGTCTGCTGTTCTGCTAGGTGCTCTTCTAGCAATGCCTGCTGGTTTAAAAACCCATCACAAATGCATTTGTTACTTGCCAAATAATTTGTAGACTACTTCAGACAATTTAAAATCCTGTTAATGACCAGCAAGGTAATAGATTATGGTAGAGTAAATCAATGAATAAATAGAGGGTGGCTAAACTTTGGATTTAAGTCTCCCATGCATACACACCCAGATCTATTTTGCCTCGATACTGCCACCAGATTGTAACATCAAAGTCTTTTTTTTTGCCATTAAGTCACAGCTGATTTATGGCAACCCTGTAGGGTTTTCAAGGCAAGAGGCATTCAGAGATAGTTTGCCGTGGCCTGCCTCTGTGTAGTGACCCCAGTACTTCCTTGGTGGTCTCCCATTCAAACAGTAGCCAGGGCTAACCCTGCTTAACTTCCAAGACCAGATGAGATTGGGCTAGCCTGGGCTATCCAGGCCAGGAAACGTCAACGTTATGCAGGATTACTATTTCAGTACTAGGTGGGGGGAAATATGTGTGTGTGTGTGTGTAGCGCTTTAGAACCAACCTAGACATTTCCATATGTAGATAATGGGCAATTTCTTCCCCCATTAAACAAGGTGTGAAGATAAAGGGAACTGATGCATGCTTGGTCACAGTCTACAATGGCAAAGTGCAAGAAGTTGCAATCAAAAGATGTACATTTACATATAGTAAATTTACATATAGTAAAATCTAATACATTTGGAAGCTATCTGCTTCTGGCCTCAGCAATCCCAAGAAAGATTATCACAACACTTTGCCATGGAAGCTGGCTGGGTGACCTGGGGTCAGTAACACACTCTCAGCCTAACCTACCTCAGAGCTGTTGTTAGGATAAAATGGAGGAGCGGGAATAATGTAAGCTACTTTGGGTCTCTCACTGGTGACAATGGCAGGCTGTAAGTGAAGTGAAGTTAGTAATAAAGAAAATAGTGGGCATTGAACATGTTTTTGCCTAAATGCCAGACATTTTCTGCCACTCTAGTGGTGATACTGAAAGCTCACTCAAAATAGTACCCAGTGAGTGTACCCTTCTTGCTATAACGTGAGCAAAAAATGGCTGCTGTAATGCCTAGTTTCACCCAGGTTAGGAAAGACCTTTGAAATATACTCCACTTTGAACGCTAGCATTGTACAGATGCTTTAAAAAAGAGCCGATAAACCTGAAATATTAGCAATTGGAAGATGCAGGTAAACCTTTCAGATCAAGAATCATACAACACAAGAAGTGCAGACAGGGCTAAAAGGTCAATCAGTAAAAACTTTAGCCACATGGTATCTTTTATTAGATAGTTCAGACGGAAACCCTGAGTTACCAGCCAAAGAAATCAGTTACATTTTTTTTAAAAAGCCATGGTTTGGGGTTTTTTGCATCATGAGAATCTGGATTTGTGCTATTTGACAGAGAGTTTTAAAAACTAGAAGACCCTCCTCACACACGCGCGCACACACACAGAGACACAGACAACCTGACATTTTCACCGTGGGGAAATAAATTTCCTTTCAAGTCCATTGTGTATTCAAAGCAGTGTAGCATCTGCCTTAAAAAGTTTAAAAGGTGATTCAAGGATATGGGGTGGAGGAGAAAAGGAGCAATCCCAGGTCTGCCAGTGAGTGTCTGCAAGAGTGATGTTCAAAGATGGTTGGGAAGGCAGGAGGGGAAGATGATCAAACAGGGACATTCAAGATGCTCTCAGAAATGAGCCACATAGTTTGAAAGAGGATGGCGTCTGAGAAACTTGTCCCTACAAAAACCTACACATGATTTGGGGTGGGCGGAACCTGAACAAACAAAGGGGATCTTGGAAACTTCAGTTGGATTGACTGTGGTCAGGGGTGGGGAGAAAACCAATTGCCCCTGCTGTACCGGATCTGGCTCTAAAGAGGCATCCACCTGCGTAACGTCTGGCCCTTTCCAGGCAGGGGAAGATCTGCTGTATCACTGTTGTCAAAAATACAGATTGTTGTGTACTCCAACTCTCATATACACATATATGAACTCTTTAACAAAGAGTCTTCACTATTCACAAAAAAGAGTGAAGTCCATGAAGAAAGCAACAGCTAGTCTGTCTGAGGGCACATAGCCTCGATGTGCATTTGAGGAAATGCCTCAAAACAGGACTTCTCACAGGGGTTATGGTTTTGGCTCCCCTTGGATCTCCAAGGAAGCGTCTGCAGAGTTGAGCATGGACAGGCAAGGAAAATCTCTCATTACAGTGTGGTAGACGGGAGCTTCTTCACCCTCCTCTGTGCTAGGAAGGATGACTCAATGGGCTTCAGCTGGGGACTTGGCTTGGAGTTGTTCAACGCAGAATACGTGGCAGCCATAGCACCCTGGGCAGGGGCAGAGAGAGAGAAGCGCCATAAGACATCGGTCAAGTCACTTACATGTACACGCAAGATAGTCCCAATGAATACCCAGAGGCAATGAACACATGAAGCTGCCTTCCAAGGTTACTCTTATCTACTCTAGTTGGCAGCAGCTCTGCAGGGTCTCAGGCAGAGGCCTTCCACACCACTGACTAGCTAATCCTTTCAACTGGAGATGTCGTAATTGAACCTGGGACCTTCTGTATGCAAAGCCAATGCTCTCACACTGAGTCACAGCCCATAAGTTTGGTGCAGAAGAATGCAGTGTATGGCAGGGGCCCCTTTGCACATTACTTGTTAGGTATTACACATGAATGCGACCAATGTGTGTTTTATGGACATTTATAATTGCATAGGTAAGCTTATCAAGGAGCCAGAATTGACTGATCTCCTCTGAGTGTTGCAGTGGTGCCCCTGATGGCAGCATTTTCTATATCAGCTGCCCCCTACCATCTTTTTCAGTTGACGTTGCCCCATTCCATCTGCACTGCAGACCCTGTTCTATACAATTTTTGACCACACAGGTCCAAACCCCCCCCCCCCATTTTTGGACTGCAGAAGTAGCCCCCTTGTTCTTCCTTCATCAGCAGAAAAGTTGGTAAGATCCAACCCAGGACTTGGGAGCTTTTAGTCTGGGTTCCTGCAAGGTTGTTGGAGTTCTTTGGAAGATTGCCCAGGAACTTCAGGTAGTCCAAAATGAAACAGCTAGCCAAAAGATCTTGCTGTTGTACCTATTAAGGAACTGTACTGGTCTCAATTTGAAATAGTAATCTTTAAAGGCATAAATGATTTGGGTCTGCGTTATCTAAAAGAATGCAACCCCTCATACTCCCTCAACAGACCTTGAGATCAAGAGGCAACTCTACTGATTATTCATGATTATGGGTGATAATTCCAATGAGGTAGCTATGTCAGTCTGCTGCAGCAAAATCAAACCAAAGACCAGCAGAACCTTACAGATGAACAAAATTTCTTTCAGTATAGGCTTTAATGAGTCAGAATTCACTTCATCAAACGCATGACACTCTGATTTACGAAAGCTGATTCTGGGATAAAGTTTTCCAGACTTCAAAGTGCCACTGGACTCCTGTTGGATTATGGATGACAAGATCTCAGGTGGTCTCACTCTTCACCGCTCTGGGAATCCCTGCCCAAAGAGTCATACTTGAGTGTTTCCAGAAAGCTAGACTATATTAAAAAACTATTGTTTGCTAGAGATTTGGATACTTAGATAAACATTTATATCCCGCCTTTGTTCATGGCTCAAGGCCATTTACGAGTCATGATGGCTACTGACATTTCTGCACTTTTAGTATTTTGTTGTTGTTTGTTTCAGTCTCACAGTCAAGTCCGACTCTTTGGGACCTCATGGACCACATCATGCCAGGCCCTCCTGTCTTCCGTCATCCTCCGGAGTTTGCTCAATTTCATGTTCGTCGCATCTATGACACTGTCTAACCATCTCATCCTTTGCCATCTTTTTTTTTTTTAGTATAGTGGACTTTAAAAGCTTTAATTGATTCTGTTAGCCACTTTAAAGAGATTTTTTTGCTACCAAAAGCAGGATATAATTTGGTTCCCTTTTCCCTTCTGTTCGTCAGTGGAACAGGCTTCCTCAGGAGGTGGTGTGCTCGCCTAATCTGGAGGTTTTCAAACAGAGGCTAGATGGCCATCTGACAGCAATGCAGATTCTGTGAACTTAGGCAGATCATGAGAGGGAGGGCAGGAAGGGTTGCCTCAATGCTTAGTTCTTGTGGCTCTTTCTTACATGCCCAGGGAAATGCTGATCATAACTTTGGGGTCAGGAAGCAATTTTTCTCCAGGCCAGTTTTTTGTCATCTTCTGGGTATGGAACAGCGGTCACTGGGGGTGTGGAGGGGGAGGTATTTGAGAATTTCCTGCATTGTGGAGGGGGTTGGACTAGAGGACCCTGGAAGTCCCTTCCAACTCTATGATTCTATGATTCTTCCCTTTATCGCCCGCCTCTCTGAGTGAGCATCTCTTCTGGAGCTTCACTGGGCCCATTTGCAAATAAATACCATCTTGTAGTATATCTTTGGGAAAGACTTTTGCTGAACAAGTTGCTCACTAAGCACTTAGGAGGAAGAGCTGATGGAGTTGATCTTTCAACAGCCAATATAGCAGACACCTAAGGACAGGGTTGGAAGCTCCCTTTCCCACCCCAAAGTGTGCACCTTTACAAGTTGTACATCCTGGTGACTCAGCTGGCTCTGGGGCAACCTGTCCTTTTGAGTTATCCATGAGTGCTGGAGGACTTGTTTGGCAGTCAGGCGCTGATGAGGGTCAATGTGGAGCATCTTGGATACCAGGTCCTGCAATAAATCAGGGAATACAACAGCTGTAATGCCCTTTTCACACTGGTGGCCCAAAGTGTTCCAAATCAAGCTGCTTTGCTCATTTGTTTGAGATCCACTCCCGGAATCTAACCCTGGTAGCTGTCTGTAGTTGGATGCCACTTGGTGTCTTTGGCAATACTGTAACATCTGAATTCACTGGGCAACAGAGTTGACCTTTTCTCCCCTCCAGAAATTAATCCTGCAACTTTTAAAAAGGTACCCAAGACTTAGCTCATGCTTAGAAAATCCTCTGTTTGTCCTTAATTTCTCCTTCCCCCCTTCAACTGATTTACAGTTTCTTTTTGCATCATCACAAATACCAAATCATGATAAGAAGGCCAGAGAAGTTACTAGCAATCCCCAGGAAAGATTCTTCCCTGTCCCCTAAGATCTCACCCCGCCACAGCAGAAAATGGAGTGAGCCTTCCTGTGGCACGTACTTTGCTTTTCCCCTCCCCAAAGCCACCCAATACTTCAAAGAACAAGACCACTATTTATTTGAAATGGTTATATGCCCACTTTTCCCATGAGCATCTCCAACTTGTTTTGTATAACCTGGCATGCAGTGAAAGATTCCTACGGAAAAAAATCAGGAATCTGTATTAATCTGCTAGAAGAAATATTATTATGCAAAATTAACCCGATGCATTTTGAACTAGTGCTCTGTCAAGCAAATTCACTTTCCCCACTACCTGTAGGAAAGACGTTTTCTTCTTCCCATCTCTTACTCAAAGCTTTTTTTAAAACAGAAGATTCATGCCTTCACCATGGCATGTCATGGATGTTGGCTGAATTGCTCCTATTCTACACCAAATCAAAATCAAGTCCCGTGCAGAATTCTTACAAAATTCTGTAATCAGCCTAAAAAGGCAAACCTATTTAGCCAAACCTAAAAAGGTAAACCCAATGAAACCAAGCCTAGCTTGTGTAAAACATGTGTGAGAAAAAAATATATGCAATATGTTGGTGATCTGCAGAACTTGATTTTGGAGGTGGGTGGAATGTGGCGAACAGGGGCAGGAGGGCTTATAGAGAGGAAGAGGACCAGCAGAAGGTGTTCTGGGTACAGGTTCTGCTGCCCTGCACGTACTACTTGCCCATCTTTATAGCCATGGGGCTCTGACAGAAAAAAGGAAGAAGCAAGTGTCCTTAGGAATCCAAGCTCAGCACTAAGAACCAAACGCTACAAAAGAAACCGCGCAGAACTGACGGAGAGGTAGAGATCCAGACATGAAGAAGGCACATATAGGCAACTGCCCAGCACAGTAAAAGCTCTCACCTTTGGAAGCTGAAGGACACATCAAGCTCCCCTTGCCAATTCCCACAAACCAAAGTTGAAATAAGCAAATAAGCTCTGAAGCAGAGCATTCTGCTACTACACCTTACCTTTGCTGTGTCAGAAACTGTGTCCCAGTTTCCCCCTTTGAGGGAAAACTTTCCCCCGCCTATCCGAGTGAGGATCTCTTCTGGAGTGTCACTGGGCCCATTTGCAAAGGGAGTGTACCTGCAAGGAACAAGAGGGGGGAAAACCCTGTAAAGCACTATGTTAAAAGATAAACAGGTGGAAAGAATGGTGGGAAAGAACAGGTAACAGGGAGGAACTAGGGACACTTCCTGAAGAGACTAACTTTTTAAAAATATATTTTTAATAGACAAAAAAAGAGCTGGGACTCTAAAGCAACACCTAGACTCTTGACATGGCAGTTCTATAATTCATAATAATTACCACCATGTAACAAGTCAGGGTGCCCTGTTTATGGTTGCCAGAACCAGTAGGAGAGGGTGGGGGCAGTGACCAGCAGGGGGAGAGAATGATGTGCTGATGATCTGACATCACTTCCAGCAAACACTTGACAGTGCTGCTGACAGGACACTCTAGGATTCATACAAAACTATTGTATAGCATAGAGTCTTGTCCAAATCCCAGAGGATCACGTAGGTGACATGTCATTTCTGGGTATTTACTGAAAATGATGTCATGCTGTTAGCACAATCCTGGCTTTCTGGCACTTCCCTGCCCCCACTGTCATTTAGCGGGATACCAGGCAATGAAAAGAAAGGCTGGGAGACCTAGTCTCTCTACTCCTATTACAATCTGCATTGCAACCCACCTTTAATCCCCCAGACACCACCATGGGACTCTGAGCATATAACAGGATGCAATGTGACATCAGGGTCACATGACAGGAAGAAGAGTAATCAGAGTCATGGCCTGGCTGGTATCAAGGCAAGGACTGTGGGCAGCAAACTAAGATCTGGGGACAGGAAAACGCAAGCTGTACCACAGGAGATGTACCATTGTGAGCAAGCGAGCACTGGCAGATTCAAAGACCTCCTCCCACTCCCTGCAAAAGCTTTCCCTTGTTTTCTCTCCTTACTCAGCACAACGTGCCCCCCCCCCCCGCCAGCTGTCCAATGCTCCTCACCTACAGTTGCAGTATAGAGCCCATCCCTGTGAATGACCAGGTCTCCTGAGGGGAGGGGGGCTCCATGCTGCAAGCAGAACACTGAATGACTGAGGGGGAGGCGGGGCCAGGCATGGGGAGAAGGAATGAGATAAACATCCTCCCATCATGTCTGACCTGACACGGAAGTGACTGAAGTCATGAATGCCACCTTCCCTTGTTCATAAGTAACAGAAGGGAAGTGCCAGTTCTGCAAGTCTTCCATGTCTTATTCCGAAAAAGGGTCCAGGGATAGCATATAAAACTACTAGCCATGGGAAAGCCATGGAGTGTCCTAGGGACAAGCATAATCACATGTGCCCTTCTCCTATGGAAGGTGACATAAGACAGTCATGTATTTGCCCTCCATACGGGGTTTTGTCCTTTCTTAATTTTTTTTTTTTTGGGGGGGTGAGTGTGTGTGTGTGTATGTGTGCGTGTGTGCCTGGAAGTCATGGTTGACTTCTGGCAACCCCTAGTGGGGCTTGGATGTTTCAGAGAGGTGTCTTGCTTATTGCCTGCCTCTGCGTCCCAACCCTGGTATTCCTTGGAGGTCTCGCTTCCAAGTACTTGCCAGGGTCGGCCCTGCTTAACTTCCAATATCTGACGCAATCCAAGGCAGGGCAGGGTTTTGTCATTTCTTGAGAGCATGTCTCAGTGTAGCTGGCAGGATTCCCAACACTGCCTTGGCAAAATGCTGGAAGGTTTTGGCAGTAGTGCCTGGGGGGGATGTGATGTCACTTCCAGGTGATGCTCTGGACTGCCTCCCTATGGTCTTCCAGAGACATTCGAGGAAATTCCTAGAACGTCACTATGTGGAGGCTATTTTCTCACCCTCCTTAATCCCTCAGGGGCAAGAAATTGGGGCTGGGGTGGGTAATTCCCTACCGTGGAGAGGTAAATGGGAGAGGTCTAGTAGCCAGAGGCAGCCTTAAGGTGCATGATGTCCTTCTGCTGCAGGCCAGCATTGTGAACTGCCTGGATGGGAGACCCCTGGGCGCCAGCTCTTCTAAGAAGAGCAGGTGTGTGAAATTAATGAAGCTTCAGAGCTTTATTAGCAGCACTAGATCATATCCTTGCCTCCTTCTGCTGCCCAGGAATCCCTGGGGTATGATGTCCCTTTCCTCCATGCCTTTTCCCCACTGGGGGGGGTCTCCATTCATCAGTACCTGAAACCCATAGCTACCCCACTTAGAAATTTGTGCCACCCAGCAAGGCATCTTTAGAATTTGCTCCTGCTTACCCTTTCACGTCCTGCTTCCTAAGGTGCCTCCCTGTATCAGGAGGCCCCACATTCTTCCTTCAAACACTGCTGGTTCCCCAAGCAACGGCAGCATATGATCCAACCTCCACCTGGAAGGGGGAATATGCTGCTACTTGGAGAAATATGCTGCCAGTGCCACCCAGTGGCAAGGCCAGTTATGGGACAGCCTGTCCAAGGGACCATCTCATCTCTGATCACGCGTGAAAGAATCAAACTTTTTAAAAAATCGTTGTTAGATTAAGC